CGTTAAAGTATACTTCTGCTTTTAGGCCTGTAAGCAATTATTACTCTAGTTTTAAGTTAGACCAGAACTTATTTGAGAATTTAAAACCATGAATCTCAGTACATTTTGAACAAGAAAAAACAACAGCAAGAAAAACTGTTGTCCAGTGGTCTGAGAAAAACAAAAAAACGTTTAAATCATTATAAATTCTCTGAAGTTTTTCTGTGTTTCTATATGTTATGTTCACCAAAAAAAAAAAAAAAAAAACGAGTTGCCCCCCGTGATTGATTTCATCTGTGTTCTCTGGCTGTGTCAGATGCACAAGCAGTTTTCATACAGAACCTTCTGGATAAATGAAACCTTTCAGCTGTGCTCACCCACTGTCACATGCAGTTAGACAGACATTTCCATCCATTCAGTCTGTTCTGAACAGGATTTGCTTCAAGAGGTTATTTTCTGGACTGGGTATAATAAAGGTAGTCAGAATAAAATGAAAAGCATGAAAGGTCAAGTTTTATTTTAATAATAAAAGTAAACTGAAAGTGGCCAAGCAGATATAGAAATGCAGAGCGAAGATATTTTCAGAGCACTGTTACATTATCATCTTATTTTTCACCACAGTTTGTGGGCAGCAATGGTTAAAATGACATTTTACAGTCACTAAGATCAGCCACAGGGCTCCTTATAAGGTCGTTGGTTTTGTTTCCAACCACAAACACACACACCACATCTCAAATGCACTCTCATGAGACACTATTCTCTCTCACAGTTTATAACCTATGTGCAGCATCCAAACTACTAAACTAGTCTATTGATAATTCAGTTTCAGTTTTTCAGTGAGCAACAATTAACTATAGCTTTAAGGAATGTGAGGAGTGTTTTTTTTTACCTAAGGCCATTCTGAAATGTTGAAGAAATAAGATTTGCGAGGCAACTGTTGCAAGCCGGACTCAAACATGTGAGCACGTATTGAAACACATGCAGTTACTGCTCCTCCTGTTGCTTGAGCCCTCAGAGAAGAGACAGATGATGTACCCGTGACAGGGTGTTAATGGAAAATTGAGTTTACATTTGAAGCTGTTGGCCATGAGGGAGCGATCACCTTTCCACATATCAAACCATATGTGCGTGCGTGCCTGCAAAAGTGTACAGTATGTCCGCCCAGTGGAAAAGTACTGTGTACACATCATTCATTTGTATATCAGTCCCTCTGTGTGTGCATGTGTTGGCACCAGCCAGAACATTAAAAAAGGAGATTATAAAATAGAGGGGAGGGCACATTGTTAGATTAAAAATGGCACTGAGTCTGCCCACTGTTACTTACACAATTTATCATACTTTATAGTACTTAAATTTGCTCTTTTTGTGAATGGCATCTATTGCTATTTGCACTTGGTGTAAACAGATGATATTTGTTGCTTTTGTACACTTGGTAGAAACATCACAATTTACACTGTAAATAGCCTCTGCCTTAAATATATATTAAAACATATAACACACAAATAATATTATTTTGATATTAGATATTAGTTTTATATTAAAGATTAGAGGGCACGTTAATTTGGAAAATAATGATGTGCGTGGATTAATCATTTATAATAAACTGACTATTCTTATTTGTTTAATGGAATGTTACAATTTCGATTTCATGGTGAATTTAAATAACGATTGACTGAATGATTCAACGATTCACTAAAGTCACTTCTTTCGTTCATGAATGAATCAATAGTTTGAATAAACGATTCAGTGAGTTTTATAAGCAATGCGTAGCGATGTAACCTGTGGAAACAGTAACTGAAAAATAACCACCTTTAATATACTGACAGTCTTGTCTGGAACGTGCAAACACAGACAAGCAGACTGATAGAAGCAGTGAAAAGTCAGTGCTGTTGAACTGTTTATCAGCTCACTGAGCCAATCAAATTTGAGGACAAGAACTGATATATAAGATTAGTAAAAAGAGGTAAAAAAAAATAAAAAGACAGACTTTGGAAGTTGAAGTGGAGAGGCAGCTGGCTCTTATCACAGCGGCGTCTGTTCTCCCACTGTGTGTGCGCCGCGCGCGTGTGTGAGGGATAGTATTCAGCTAAAACTTTGGGGTATAACTTCAGGGGTATAACAGAAGTCTTTTACAGTGGCAGCTCTCCGTCTCTCTGAAGTTGACTGGCCCGTTTCTGTCTGTAACTGTCTCGCCAGCAATTGCCAGTACTGAAATGATCCATCTGTCTCAAAACTGCCTTGAGTTTTCAGAATGCAGTGTGCCGACCTGATGCGCTTCATAAATACTGAATGTGAGGGTGTGTGTGTGTGTACGTACGGTCTCCTCTCAGTGTGAGTGTCTGTCGATGTGTCTGCTGCTCACAGTCAGAAAGTCTCCTGTCCATCTGCTTCTTTTGCCACTGATCACGCATGCTGTCTTTCTTTCTTTAAATCCGATTATCTTTACCACTTGCTATGACTCGCACCCACCCGCACGTGCCCTTGACCGCGCCCCATCCAGCCCCTGCTGAGGGGGAGATTGAACAGAGGAGGCACTAATTGCCCCTTAATTGCCCCTCTGTCTGTCCAGCTGCTCCCCTAGGCAGAAAAGAAGTAGTATTGATCAGAATGGAGTGAGAGTTTTAAACAGACATACCGGTATTAAAGAGATAGTTCACATAAAAATGAAATTTCTTTTAACATTTACTCGCCTTCATGTCATTCCAAACCTGTATGACTTTCTTTCTTTTTGTGTAACAAAAAAAAAAATATTAAAAAAGTTAGGACAACCAAAAAGATATGTTTTGAAGAATGAAAACACAGGTTTCCAAAGCATTCCTACCAACCCTACCATGGGTCGTCTGCTGCTTTAAATGCTCAACCTCTTTAAAGCAGGATGGATTCTGATTTGCAGTTTTATAATGTTGGTGCGAACTTTCATATCCTCAAAGAATAATAACGATTATTAAAAATGTATAGTAGTTATTGTAGTTACCGTCTTTGCGTGAACAGTTCTTTGTGCACTTGTGACCTTGGAATGACCTTTGCCCTCACTTTTGGATCACTCTTTACTCTCAGTGGATATCACAAAACAGTCGGTGATGAATTACACCACCACTGCAAAGGCTGGCATTTGGGACAGGGCCAGATAGTAAGTGATGGAGATGTAGGAGAGGGTAAAATCAAGGGAGACAGTTAATATGAGAAAGGATATGAAAAAGGAGTGTTGTTTTTGAATGTCATATAGACTACAGAGGAAAACATTGTAGGCCTATGGGAGAAAGAGAGACCTTTGACCTCGCTATAATATACGGAGATCTGTGAAGCGCTCTGTCAATCACAAGAGGAATGTCTCTCTCTCTCACACACACACACACACACACACTTAAGGCACTCTTAACTTTTTTGACGCAAATAGCTATACAATCTTGTAGTGAATATACACAAATCATTTTGATTACGACATTTGATGACTTGTGTTGTCCATATCAGCCCATTTCATTCTTGTTGAGTGCTAATGCAGAACCCTTCAACTTCTGGATCTGACTGCTGTGCTTTGGTTCATGTGTTGTGCTGATTTAGTTTAAAGGGAAAGTACAGCCTCTCTTTGTTTCACTGTTTCTGTAGAGCTCAGTATGTGAAGTTGCTCTCTTCTGAACTGGTTTTAACCCCTCAGACAGCGTGTACTGTATAAGAGTGATCATGAGCTGTTTGTTTGGGTTCTGTGCTCCGGGTGGGAGTCAACAGAATCTGCTGGTGGGAGTGTTTATGTGTGGTGTCTATCAGCCAGAGGGATCTAGGGAAGAGGGAGGATCTTAGACGAGATTATTGTCTGTCTGGATGCCACACTACTCCTGTGATCTTTCTAAACAAGGCAACTCCATGGCCATTTTACATATACACAAGACAACTCTTAATCTGGGTTTGGGAGTGTTTTGTAAAATCTAGTTATCTATTCTACAGTTGTTTGTTTGCTTGTTTGACAACAAATAAACAAAGATTTTTTTTAATTATATTTATTATTCTTGAGCAGCAATTCAGCATATTAGAATGATTTCTGAAGGATCATGTGACAATGAAGACCGGAGTAATGATGCTGGAAATTCAGCTTTGATCACAGGAATTAATTACATTTTACAATATATTCAAATAGAAAACAGTTATTTTAATGTTATTTAACAATATTAAGGTTTATACTGTTTTTTTTATACCAAAATAGAGTAATATATAAAATAAAATACATTTTACCAATAAATTCAGTCTTGCTGAGAATTCTTTTTTTTTAAACTTGTAAACCAAACCCCAATCTTTTGAACAGCTGTGAAACCATAAACAGCAATTAGAAATTTTATAAGATTAAGATCTTTATATGGATTTATGGGATATGTGCTTATATAACAAAAAACAGCTGTCAGATTCATAATTTAAAATGGACAATTTGGAAAGATTCACTAAAATGAATACAATTTCTACACCATTTTTGCTATTGAAGCTTTTGAATTAGCATGGGCACATTTAAAATATCTTTCACAGCCATCTCAAGCTGCATAACAAAAAAAAAGTTTTTTCTAAGGAAACTTAATGGAGAAATTAAAAATGCATTAAAATATTCATGATGATGCTTAGTTTTATATTGCCTTCAAAATCATTGTAAATATATTGTGGATTATAAAATATATCACCCAGCTCTACTGTGGACTCCTACTACCCGATTTCACGAGAGCAAAGGGTTATCGGCAGTCTTTTTTCTTGCTCTCTCTTGCACCTGGATCTGTGCAGCTGGGCTTCATGTTTGGAGGCAGCGGGAACACAATGGCTGTTTCAGTCTCACAGCGTGTGGATCATTTCTCACTGCGTGTGACTCCGAGACTGCTGCAGTGAAAAGCCGTCTGGCAAATTATTATGAGTGTTGTTCACTGCCGCCCATCCAGCCCTCAATCCTTCCCGCCAAAACAATCAAAACAAAAAACGATTCTCAATTAAAATAGACATCATTGCTATCACACAAGTAATTTTTGGTCTCTTTTTCTTTCTCTTTACAGTATGTTTGGCTTCTGTAAAGGTCACTGTGACTCCAAAGGTGGAAGTGATTAAAGGAGAGACCGCCAAAATGCCCTGCAACTACACCATCTCTAATCCCACCTCTAATATTGTGGTCCAGTGGTACATTGTGAGTACATGAATGACACTCTTTTTTTTTCATTTTAATCTCTTTCACTTGTTTTGCTTTTCTAATTTTATATACGGATCATGTAAAATGCTGGGTCCCATTTTATATAAAGTGTCTTTAACTACTACTAACATTTGAATAAATCATTTGATACAATGCACTTACTGTGCACATACTTGGAAAAACCTGCATGTCATTTCAGCTGTTTTTATTAATATTTTTTTTTTTGTAATTACATCTATAGTTACACTGTTGACCCTTTCCTTACCCCTTAACCCTTCCTTAAACCTAACCATACCACCAAATTCGTCCTTAACCTTACCCCTTAACCCACCTCAACAACTAAAGTAATTTGCAATACAACATACAAACAATAAGTACATTGTACAATTATTTCTTTTTTGGTGTAAGTACATAGTAGTTAAAGACTCTTAATGACCAAATGCTGTACTGCATTGATGAATTTGTGTTTCCATCATCCTCAGGAAGTCTTAGGTGCAAGAAAGCAAATCGCTTACAAGTCTTCGCAAGGTTTTGATGTTGAAGCTGGCACACCGTTGACAGAACGCTTAACCATAGGAGAGGACTTGTCCATCTCCATCTCCCCAGTCATGGTGGATGATGAGAGAAGCTTCTTCTGCCAAGTGACCGCAGGGCCTTTGGGGGTGTCTGACGCTGAGACCCAGGTCAAGGTTTTCTGTAAGTCTGACTGAAAATGAATGCATGTCATATTTTTTACTTCTTTATTAGCTTAGGCTATACTTGGTTTGATCGCTTGTGTCCACTCCTCTCACAATTTCCATAAACTCAATGGGACATATGGCCAGCCATTTTTACCCCTATTCATTAGTCTTGGGTGTTGTTTGTGAGTTGGCCCGGGGTCAATTATGGCCATACAGATTGCATTTGACACTATTGATTAATAGAGTGATTGCACTTGTCATGTTTGATGGATGTCATTTTAAGAATTATGAGAGCCAAAGAGCTCTGTGCATTGAGCACTGTGTTAATGACCACTGACCTAAGAGCAGAGTCGTTTAATATGCTACTATTCAAAAGTTTTTAATACTTTTATTCAACAAAGATGCATTAAAATGTTAAATTGTAAACACATTTATAATGTTACAAAAGATTTCACATTCAAATGAATGCTGTTATTTTGAACTTTCCACTCTTTAATGGATTTCACGGTTTCTGAAAAACAAAATATTGACAAGATTGAATTGTTAATTATATTAAAATGTATATAAATATTACTTCTCAAATGGTTAGATATGAATGATTAGATATTATACTGAAAAAAGACAAAAGTGCGTAAGAAATTGTTACTTTTAAACATATTTATATTTATTCACTATTAGATATGAGATGGCACCCATTTCATAGAATGAACTTTGAGTTTACTGTAAAAGGTGGTGTAACACTGTATGTATATTATATATTATAGACCTCAGTCAGGGTACATGGCATATTTATCACAATTTATGGTATATTTAATTTATCACAGTTTATAGATTTTTTATATTATTATTATTTTGTGTCTCTAATTGGCCTGCATTAGATGGTATTGAACTTTCAGCCCCCTGCTCAGCAATTCATTATTTCTTTAGAGACCCTCCCCCAGCTGTGTGTGATAGGGTCACTTTATGAAAAACTAGACAATTGTGTGTGTGTGTGCAGATCAGAGAAAACATCAGAACAGACTCTTTGTTCATTTTCTGTCCCAGACTGCATGGAGCGAGAGAGGCAGTAATGCTGTAATAATTGTGAATGAGAGCAGTGGGACTGGAAAACAATGGCATCTCCTCCCAGGAGACGAATACTGCTGCCTGCTTCATGGCTAATGGCTGCACCAGAGGGACATGTCCTTATGTAGAGAGAGAAAGAGACATCTATCTCCATGCAAACTCACACATGTTCTCTGTGCTGGGTCTTTATTTTCAGTGTCTTTTTAAAATATTTTTGAGAAAGATTAAGACATGAGGGCGATGCTTTGGTGACTGAGAGACCGACCGAAACTAAGTGCTCTGGGAAGAATGCCATGACTGTTAATGTTATAAAAAAATGATTCAGTTTATTTTTGAACCAGATGACAGCTGGGAGCAGTGATATGGTGACCTTGCGTGTGAATTGGTGGGTAGGGGAGTGGCTGCAGTGTGATTTGGAAATGGAGCTGGAAGTGTCATAATGTTAATGCATCTTAATGTTTGCTTTTTAACATATTTAGCTAATTTTTCATGTTTCCATGTGCAAAATTAAGCAGCAAATTCAGTTTTGTTAAAAAAAGGTTTTTGCACAAGGTATTTCAGTGCAAAAACCTGATTCTTATTCACCAACTAGCTCCAATCCAGTTATACCTGGCAAAACCATTTTAAACTGAGTGAATGTCATTCTTTTCGACACAATCGCGCCTTTGCATGCAAATTAGGCTCGTTATATTGTGCCATATTCACAAAACTCAGCACAATTTGACTGACACATTTAACGTTACGGTATTACTGCCCATAGAAAGCAGGTGGTAAACTGAATTTTATTTAAAAGAGATGTTTGTGTATATTTCTTTTGATTATGGCAGCAGTTATTCATAAAATAATGATAAAAAGTTGAATAAGAAAATTATAAATGGGCATAATGGGTATGGTTTAGCGCACATTTTAAAAAGCCAGTTATCAGCTGTCATGATTCTTTCATTGAGTTCTCCCTCAATGTGGTGGTATTTATATGGCCAATTGCAGTGTCCATTTGCATGCAATTGGTTTAGGAAACCATATCTCAGACTTGATTTAAGTTATTAATGAAAATGATCTTCCCTTTTCCTCTCACAGTTGCTCCAGAGAAGCCGGTGATAACAGACAACAATCAGGCCATCACTGTCAGTCATGACACTACTTCCTCCTCTGAGGTGAATCTTGTGTAGATGTTTTTAGCTATATATGATAGCTATGAGTCTTGAAATGTATATTTAATTTGTGCAGCCTTACAATGACTGAATGAAAAGCTTGTCAAAAATCTTATGACAACATCTAGCATGTCAAATTTCTGTGTGGTATGTTTGTTTAGGTGGGCAAGTGCACCAGCAGGAATGCTTACCCTCAGCCTCGTATTATCTGGTTTAAAGACGACAACCCGCTGCCTGATGAAAAGAGCCAAAAGGAAAGTAAGTGCAGAATCTGAAAAGTGGTCAGAATAAGTCGGCTCTTTAAAGTCCTTTAAATTTTCTTTCCCGCCCATTGCAGTATTACTGGAATCGTAGTGGGGTCCAAAAATTTGGGATTCAAATGGGGGACTTCTACTAGATATTCTCTACCGTTGAAAAGTTTGGGGGCATTTGTTTAAAAAAATTTATACTTTTATTCAGCAAAGATGCATTAAATTAATCAAAAGTGACAGCAAAAACGATTACGTTGTAACAAAAAATGAATTGTTGAAAATTAAAAGCTCCAAATCAGCACATTAGAATGATTTCTGAAGGATCATGCAACTGATGACTGGAGTAATGATGCTGAAAATTAAAATTTTCAAATAGAAAAATAGAAAACAGTTATTTTAAATAATTTTACTGTTTATACTGTATTTTTATCAAATAAATGTCAGCCTTGGTGAGCATAAGAGACTTCTTTCCAAAACATAAAAAAATGACCGACCCTAAACTTGTGAGGAGTAATATATATATATATTATATCAAATAACTTTCAGAATATATACATATATAATGTGTTTGTTAAATTCCTCCCACACTTTTAGATCTCTTACTGTAAATTTAATCTTGTTTCTCTCTTTTTCTCAGAAACGTATATGATACCTAGTTTGGTGAAGGAAGCCTCAGGCCTGTTCACCATCACTAGCACGCTGTACATGCAGCCGGTTAAAGCCGATGCTAAATCAGTCTTCCACTGCACGGTGGAGTACCTCATGCCAGAAAACAAAACCCTACACGAGAACTCTGATAAATTCAACCTCTCATTGCTCTGTGAGTCAGAGACACACACACTTACAAAGAAACAGTAACCCGTGCCTCATGCGTCAACTATACGTATCAAACTCCTCATCCTGTGCTCTCCTCCAATCAGATTCAACAGAAAATGTTTACTTCAAAGTGAAGAATCAGGGGCCAATCAAAGAGGGGGATGACGTGGAGATGGTGTGTGAGACCGATGGAAACCCTCAGCCAGAATTTGAATTTACTAAAGAGGTGAGAGGCCATGTAATATGTAAATCACAACCAAATGATCTAGTATATTATTTTCACTCCCGTATTTACTCTCACTTGTAAGGGCTCACCACTGAGCGGACAGAAAGGCACATTACATATGAAGAGTGTCACTCGAAATGATATTGGAACCTATACGTGTGAAGCTCAGGACTTTGATGCCTCAGATGATGTCGAACTTACCAAAACTCTACACTTAAGCGTGCACTGTAAGTAATTCCAAACTCTATAACAAATACAAATGTGGGCAAGTTATTAAATGTCATGCATAACTGATTCTTTGTTAAACATTCTTCATTACCATTGCTAATTCAGACAAGATTTACAGAACAGTAAAAAAGAGATTTCCAAGAATAGTGTGATATCAGTAAAATGTGCTCGTGACAGTTTATCTGTTTTTTTTCCTCTTTAAAAAAAGTTAAAAAAATGATAATTTGTTAAAGGGTTAGTTCACCCAAAAATGAAAATTCTGTCAGTATTTACTCACCCTCATGTTGTTCCAACCCCGTAAGACCTTCGTTCATCTTCGGAACACGAATTAAGATATTTTTGATGAAATCTGAGAGCTGGATCACTCCTCCATACTAGTCCATAGGCTTCTTCAGGGATTGAACTTGCCGGCCTCGAAAAGTTATTAAAGACATCGTTAAAATAGTCCAAGTGACTATAGTGGCTCAATCTTAAGTTTATCAAGCGACGAGAATACTTTTTGTGCGCAAAAACAAACAAAAATAACGACTTTATTTCAACTATTCATTTCTTTCTCTTTGGGCCTCTAGTCAGTTAACGTAGTGTGATTCCGTAGAGCTACGTCACACGTAGGCTCACTATTGGCCGACGCTGGTCATGTGCGTGATGCGTGTGACGTACAACAACAGAAGCTTACGCTATTACACTAGTGAACTGACTCGAGGCCCACAGAGAAGGAAATGAATAGTTGAAATAAAGTCGTTATTTTTGTTGTTTTTTTGCGCACAAAAAGTATTCTCGTCGCTTGATAAACTTAAGATTGAGCCACTGTAGTCACTTGGACTATTTTAACGATGTCTTTAATAACTTTTCGAGGCCGGCAAGTTCAATCCCTGAAGAAGCCTATGGACTAGTATGGAGGAGTGATCCAGCTCTCAGATTTCATCAAAAATATCTTAATTCGTGTTCTGAAGATGAACGAAGGTCTTACGGGGTTGGAACAACATGAGGGTGAGTAATTACTGACAGAATTTTCATTTTTGGGTGAACTAACCCTTTAAGTTCATGTTCAGTTGAATTTTCCATCACCTCATAGCTACATTCATTCTTGTGTCGCTCTGTCAGATATTGACCCTGTGGAAGTGACTCCAGCAGGCTCCTTGCTTGTTTCTAAAGGAGATGCTGTAGAGCTTCAGTGTAAGACCAAGTCATCTGATGCCCACACCCTGCATTGGATAAAGGCGAGTATAAACTTCAACAAGCTTCCATCCCCTCGCCAGTTGTTCCTAGAGTACCTCACTTTGATCATTTGCTACCCTTCATATTGGTCCAAACCCTCAAGAGTTTGGTAAATCTTTGAAACATAAATTAAAATAGTTTTAATGAAACTTGAGATGTTTTTGGCCCTCTATTGAAAGTACGGGTAACCCAAACATAAAAGATCCAAAAAGTTAATCAATGTGTTAATTCAAGTCTTGTGGAGAGAAACTTTTGCTTTATATAATGAACAGATTTATTTTAAGCTTTTATTCGCATATAAAACACACATACACATCACATATGGTAAACAAGAAAGGTCGTATATGAAGCGATCACATGTCTTCACAAGACTTGGATTAAACCGCTCAATTTATATGGATTCAATTTAAGACACCTGTATGAACTTTTTTAATCTTCTAAGTTTTGGTCACCTGGACTTTCAATGGAGGGACAGAAACCTCCGATGTAATTAAAAATATCTTAATTTTTGTTTCAAAGAAGAATCAAAGTCTGTAACACTTTATTTTGAAGGTCCCCTTTGTACATTCTGTTCACTATAAGTAATGTTGCACCTATGTGTCAACTAACTCTCATTAGAGTATTAGTTGAATGTCTTCTTAATATCTGCTAACTCTTTACTGTGATGGTCCTCCAACAGACATTCTATTGACTATAAGTAACTTTGCAACTACATGTCAATTAACTCTCATTAAAGTATTAGTAGACTTAATATCTGCTAACACTTTGTGTTGGCCCTCCAACAGACATTCTACTGACTAAGTAACTTTGCAAGTACATGTCAACTTATTCGAACCCTAACCCTACCAGTCTACTATACTCTACTAACACATAATGAGAGTTAGCAGACATGTGGTGCAATGTTACCTGTAGTCAACAGAATGTGTAAAAGGGACCATCACAATAAAGTCTTGTGGGTTTGGAATGACACAAGGTTGAGAATTTTTTTTCTTTTTTTTTTCTTGTTCATATTATATGGATATACACTTTCTGGCTAATAGAAATAGTGGGTTATGCTAGATCTCATTTGAATCAACATCTCATTTTATCTCACTGTATTTCATAGGACTCAAAGATGTTGTTGAACTCGGGTGTGTTGACTATCCAGGAAGTGACTCTGGCTCAAGCTGGTGTGTATATATGTGTCGGAGCTGTACCTTCAGTGCCAGGTCTCCAAAAACAAGCCAATGTCACCCTTAACGTCAGAGGTACTAAGTGCATACACGGACACATACAGCTTTATTGTGGTTGATCAGTGCAAAGTGTCAATACAAGCTGTCATCAATGACAAAACAGGTTGCATTCAAGAGATAGAACATGAGTTGTCAACAAACAGTTGATGCTTGTTATACCAGCTGGTTTCCGTTGTTTAGATGCAGGTAGGAGTTTAACGCCAGAAGGAAAGCGTGTTTATTCGAAAATGCGGTTTAATCTAGTAGTAACTTGCAGCGATTGTAAGAACATTAAAATGTTGGTCAGGCCAGTGTCATGGATGACCAGTTGAGCTCAATAGTAAGTAAAACACCATTCAAAAACTCCATATCAAAAATGAAATGAAACAACATTATGAAACAATTAAAGACAAACTACAATGGCTGTTATGTTGTCAATGGGAACAGATGCTGCGTTCTTGTCCTCACAAGTTCCTCCTTACGTGTTTGTAAATCATTTACAATATGATGTGCGCTTAAGTGATTTGGAGTAATTTTTCGTTATTTTATATTATCTTCTCCCCCCCTCCCCCGCTAATGCTCCATAATGAAGAGTAAAGAAAGCACATTAGGTGTGTAATTGATGCCGATCTGTGCGTTTTATTCTTGTGCTGCCATGAAGGATGATGGGAAATGTTTGTCTCTTCATAAACCAGCTAAATGATTTGGTTTTCTGGCAGTAAACTAAATGCTTACAAATTAAATGGCACTGTCAACATTCACATTTACAGCTAATTATGATCCATAACAATTTGCTTCCGCTATACAAATTAATTTTTTACACCCCAAACTCAGGGTGTAAAGAAAGTAACAAATTTCCCAGACTTTAATTAAGCTGCTCATTTGCATTCTTGTAAATAGTTATATTCTGATAAGAATTCCTGAATGTTTAAAGAGTCCAAGCTTGCTTAGCTAGATAATATGGGAAGATGCATTAAAGCAGTTGTTTTAGAAAAAAAAAAAACTGCATCAAAAGAACAAAAAACTCACCCGTTTTTTTTTTCTATCCTTTTGCTCTGTGCACTTTAATTTGGTTCAAGGCAACTTCCTGAAATGCCTGTGGTGAAAATGAATGGGAGATATATTTCCAAGGCCACTTAACAATGTGAGCAGTTACTGTTGAACTAATTCCTATAATAAAACTCTAACATGAGTTAAACACTTTGTTGTCTTGCAGTATGTGACATATACAGTAACACTAGGCAGTGTGCCATCTATCTTATCTGTGCGATCAGGAAAGCTTTCATTCTACAGTTGATTTCCTGGTTTTGTTCTTTACGCCTTCATGCATTTATAGTATTCATGGGTGTAGTTCACACCTTCCTGGTTTCCACGAAAGGATGGTGAGGAATTTACAGTGTGGTCCATAAATTCTCCAGTTACAGAGCACATGGAATATGATGTCATGGCTATTGCGTAGGATGCAGCCACTGTTTTCAGAGCCATATGGATAGCGTTGGGAAGTCCAGCACAGTAATTGACTCTCATTGTCGACTCCGTTGCTGTGTCTGAAATCGCTCACTCGTTCGTAAGAGAGCTGAAGCTGTTGCAGAAACAACATCAGAGTCAGGGTTCTAAATTAACACCCGCCAACCCGCCAAATGCGGGTTAAAATTCATTTTGGCGGGTGTTAATAAAAACTTACTAGCCAGTTTGGCCGGTGATGCATAAGGTTCTGTTCTCGGTCATTTATCCCCCTGGCAGTACTTCCTACATTTCCCATAAACACTGTGCCGTAATGCTATGTGATGACGTTTCATGCGCCCATTGGCTGCGCGCAGTTTGCAGTGAAACCAGCGCGAGAAATGATCATGGAAACAAACGGAGCGTACGCGTCCGTCCACCAGAAAACACAAGGAAGATGAAGAACGAGCCAGAGCAGGGAGCAGACTGAAAGAGGAGGGAGCTAGTAAAGTAGCTAAAGTAAAAAGTTAAGATTAAACTAAATGCGGCGGTGGTTGGGACAGACTTCTGGGTTTAAATTTAAATGTCGTTTAACGAGAGATAGCCTACGTTATTTTTTTTTAAGTTTAAGGTTTTTGTCATTATTTCTTACAAGCTTATACATTAGGCAATAGCCTATACACAACAAGCTTACTATATATCTTAAGGTTTTCTTTTAGTTGAAAACATTAAACAATATGTGTAAACAAAATATATAAACAACAAAAGCATTTAAGCTCAGGCAGCGCAAACGGGGAAAAAACGCAAAAAAGAAAAGAAAAAGCAGACTGCGCAGTTATCGTACAGAACGTAGCCTACATACTCGAGTCAGCATATGATTATCGTGTTTATATTGTTTCACGTTCATGTTGAGAAAAACAATAATATCCACATGCTCGAGTGAGAAAACGCGCTGCGCTGACAGGCGCAGAGACGCGCGCGCGTGTGTGTGTGCAAAGTGAAGTAACAGCACTTTGCGTTTTCTGTTCTTAAACCTGTCTCCCTCAACGAAACTTAAAGGAAGCATATGTCAAAATCATTTTGCTACCAGAAGATATCGGGGTACAGCTGCTGACCTGCAGTCGTTAATGCAGTGATGGACAACTGCTTCCTCAGTCGACTGCTGTTTCTTTGGATTTCATGTGATTTCTCATTGTGGTGGTGATATTATGATAATAATAATAATTAATAATTGATTAAACGTAATTTCATCTAAGTAATTCCAAACTTCGCGAGGCAGACAACGACATTATGTGATCAAAAACACAATCCACTTGTTAAATGCTCCACCCAGTGCATTTAATTATAACTGCGAAAAAAGATTGAAGAAAAAAAGTATTAGTATTTTATTTTTTTTAATAATAATTACAGAGCGAAAATTCGAATATCCGTGCACATCCCTAATAGAGATAGATCCCAAACTTGAAATGAAATGTTTGCACTTTCTGTCTTGTATTGTACTTTATATGTGTTTTTCATGCCAACAATGTTAATAAAATTATCAAATGCATTCAGTGGCACTCATAATTTCTCTTATTTTCACCGGAAAAAATTTGGCTAGTGGAAATTCTAAATGGCTGGTAACTTTAGAAAGTTACCAGCCACATTGGCTGGTGATCAAAAAAGTTAATTTAGAACCCTGATCAGAGTCACGTGGTTTTATACTTATGTAGGCTACAATAAAAATAACAGCCAAATATGTTGTAATTATATACAAACCTCCATGCCAGATTTTGTGGTTTCATCGGTTTTATATAATTTGGTTTGCCATGGTATCATCCTAATTTGTGTTCATAATCCTAAAAAAATATAGACTATATATTATTTTTTTAGTTTCTTGATATCTCCTGTCCAAACAGCTTTTTTTTTTGCGCTATTAAAAGAGATAACACGTTTAGCGTCCTCACCCAAACATTTGGATGTATTAATTAGATGAAAAGTAGATTTGTTAGGATGATCATGTGGAAGGTTTAATTTAATGCCTCTTTGAACGGCTGACAAATATACCGGTACCAAGAAATTTACAAGTCAACAGGCTTAAAGCAAATGAACTTAAAGATTGGTGGCTTATAATATACACATGCTTTTGTTTTGGAGGTGAACCTGAGATCGATGCTTCGGGGAATGGTTTGGTTACTAAGGTGGGAGAGATGGTCACTCTCAACTGCTCTGCTCTTGGCTATCCTTCTTCACAATTCATCTGGAAACCTTCTGGCAAAGAGGTGTGTTTGTTTGCTCCAAATAGATTTGGTTTGAACTAGGGATGGGCATTATTAATCGACGATCGATAATTGATCATTAAGAATTTCGTCGATCATGTTAATTTGTTATCGATAAAAAAAAAAAAAAATTAAAAAAAAAATCCTTTCCTCTAAATCCTCGCTTGCCTGGCTTATGCTACTCCGAGCTATGTCTGAACTTTGTATTTTGAGCACTTCTTGCGTTGCTTTTGCCTCTTCACGATGACTCGCTTGGTTTAGTCCTCAGTTGTAAGTCGCTTTGGATAAAAGCGTCTGCTAAATGACTAAATGTAAATGTAAATGTAATATGGTTGCGTTGCGTAATGTGAGCCTTGAAGCAATGAACCGCTGGATTGCACCACTGCAGACGGGTGGAAAGTGAACGGAATAAGTTGTTTCCCGGGCTGGTCAAGTTAGCGCAGAGGTACCTGTGCATCCCGGCAACGTCAGTCCCCTCAGAGCGGGTGTTTTCGGCGGCTGGACTGAAGAGTTTGTTTACACTCGACCTCGACGCGTCCGCACAAGCACGAGCAAAGGTGCGCGAGGCAAAAATGACGTCATTGCGGTATTCGGCGTTTTACAGGCGAGCGCGTGGAGTATAAACGCCTCGTCCGTTTGCGGAGACTCACAGAGCCAGGCAAAAGTATAAACGAGGCTTGACGGTCACCATGTTGCGGTCGCGTCTGACCCCAGGCCCAGTCCATGTCATCAACATGCTTATCTTTCTCAACAAAAATCAGTAGACTGGTGCAGAAGTTTTATGTGAGTTAATAGATATTTTTTTTGAGGCTTTTGTTAAGTAGCCTAATTTGTTGCTAGGTAGGCTAATCTCTCTCACACTCTTTCTCGACTTCGTACCTTGGATAGTTTTGAGTTACATTGAGTATTATTATGTTTTTGGTTAAGTTATTGTTTAACATGATTTTTTTTATTATTATTTTGGAACAAACGATCGGGTCTCTGTTTGAGGACGCCAACTCGCAGCTGCAGGTTTTGTTGCTTTTTAGAGCACCGCAGCGCATATTTCAAGTTTAGCCGAATGTCCAGTTTAACTGCCGCAAGTTGATTATCTTGTAATAAAGATCTCATCGAGGAAAAACACGCTGTATTTTTGTATTTTCATTGCATTTTTAATTTATAAAAAGTTAAATAAATAATTAATTTTAATATATAAAAAATATTAATGATTAATCGATAGTCGATCGTTAATTCTCCCGACGATCGACTAAGAAAATTTAATCGAATGCCCATCCCTAGTTTGAACTTGATCTTTACATCAGAGAAAACTTCTGTATTCATTGTATTTTGTAATGTTATCCTTCTGTCTGTTTGTCTGTGTGTAGTCAGTGACAGTAGTGGGGAATAGGGTGATCAGCACGGTCACTCTTGAGGCCACAGCTGCGGTTCTGGCAAATGGTGTGATGTGTGAAGCATACAATGAGCATGGAAGAAACAGCAGGCACTTAAAGGTGTCCATCAAATCAGGTTAGTGCTCCCTACTCATACAAACCGAGGCAATGTTAGGATTGGAATACTACACTCTAAAAATGACTGGGTTAAAAATAACCCCACTCGTAATCCAGCAATGGGTAAATATCAGACAGAAACTTCCAGTTTTATCTAGTTTAGTATCTAGTTCAGACAGTACTTTGGGACACAGTCACATGACCATATTGTTGTCTGGTTAATTTAGCGTGTAGCAACCAGCTATCTCGGCTAAATATGAATACTGTTATTATGAAGTTTTTTTAAATCAAATTTTGTGTAAGAATGTGAGAATTTTGGCAATCTGCTTAAATCGAGAAGATCTAAAAAATCTTGGATGTTGCTTCTAGTTCATTTAATACACTTGTGAAGGACAAGTGCACAGTGGATTGTGGGATATCGTATCTTACGCAGTGTGCTCTGGCTGTATACTGCACTTTTTCGGAAAACGCTATTGGTCATCCTGAACTGATATATATTTTTTAGAGGGTGGGATTATGGGTAAAGAGCTACATCACTTTATAAAAAGACCATGCTCGTGAATATTAAACAGCGTGCATTGATGTTGCTCTGTCAAATCTCAAGTCATGCACAGATGTGCTTGAGTTGCATGGCCTTGTATACACTTCAGAATCATTTCCGGTTTATTCACTACTGAGCAAAAGTTTGGAGACCGTACAATTTTTTTTAAAAGAAGACTCTTATGCCCACCAAGGCTGTATTTATTTGATCAAAAATACTGTAAAAACAGAAATGTTGTGAAAAATGATTACAATTTAAAATAGCTGTTTTCTAATTAAAAATATTTTAAATGTTAATATTATTTCTGTGATGGCAAAGCATCATTACCAGTCTTCAGTGTCACATGATCCTTCAGAAATCTTTCTAATATGCTGATTTGATGCTCAAGAGAGATTGCTTATTAAAATCTTGCTCATTGCTCAATTCTTTTTTTTGTGTGGAGAAAATCTGGATTTTTTTCCAGGATTTTTTATCAATATCTTTTTTTTTTTTTTTTTAAATGATCCCAAACTTTTGAACAGTAGTGTATTTACTCAGATATTTTTTACATCACAAATCCAGATGAATTCTGTAGACCTCTGAAATTTCAACAATTTAACTATAAAGTATGATTGGAAATTACATGTAATATCTCTATTCAATTCAAACTATCAGCCTGCAATTTAATTGGGCATGAGGCTTCTGCATACTTAATGCAAATAAATTTAATATATAGTATTTAGTATGCGAACATATATCTCTCAACAGACCCAGACTTGTGTAAAATGTTAGCTGTTCTCCAAACCGCATTCTTTTATTTCATCTGTGCAGATCCAGAAAAAGACACAGATTCCAATGCCGCTAACCGAGGTAGACACTTGTCCCAGCTCTCTCTGCTCCTCCTCTTCCTCTCAGGACTCTTTCTTGTACATACTCCATAATCTAACTCTTCAGCTCTTTACACTGTATATTATGTATTGTTTCCAAACACTGTGTATATTATATATTGTATTACGTATGTGATCTTTGTATGATGTCTGTCCTCTATTTTGTTGATGGTGCACCTTTAACTTTTCCCTTATTTGGGACAATAAAGGATTCTGTTCTATTTTACCTTCCTCTCTTTCCTTCCACTCTGTGTCTGGGGTGTTTGTCGCTTAATACTGATGTCCTTTCCTTTCATACTTGAGCGTACTGTCAAACGTTTAGCTTGTGCAGTCACTTTAGAGTGTGTGTGTGTGTGTGTTCGTCTTCATCTCTTTGATGGGCCTCGTTTTGTGTGCGTTTGTGGGTTAGTGCTGGAGTGTTTTTTTTTTTTTACGTTATGCTGTTCAATGGTACTCAACTTTCTCTTTCCCATAATGCTGCTCGAAGGAAACCCCATGTTTAAAACAGGTCTGTATAACCCCTGCTTCTTTTCTGTATGTGTGTGTTTGTATATAATTTCTCAAACTGTGACCTTATTTATCACTGATTACTTTATGGGTGTCGCATTTACTGTCGACAAAAGAACAATTGGTAATTGTTCTGGTTTACTTCCTCCCCACCTTCCTCAACACACCCATTCCCCCTCTGTGTCCCCCTTTCTCTTCCTCTCCCACCCATAAGTATTACTTCTTTACACTCACCATTAACCATCAACTTCTCACCAACTTTTTTCTCGGTCGCTCTTCTCAGCGGAGAAACAGCAGGGGGGTTCGAGTGCAGTCGTGATCGCCGTGGTGGTGTGCGTTCTGCTGCTTCTCATCCTGGTGGCTCTGCTCTTCTTCCTCAGTAAGAAGGGCAAGCTGAGCTGTGGGAAAAAGGACAAGAAGGATGTGTAAGTAAACCATTATTACCAATACTTGCAAACCACATGTCCACATATTCATTCTCATCTCTTCTTTATTTGTACTTCCTCCTTGCAGGGCATCTGAGGAGGTGAAAGGTGGTATAGTGGTGGAGATGAAGTCCAGTCAGAAAGGCAATGAAGAGTCCGGTCTGTTAAACAAACCTCATGCATAACAGGTGAGGGTTCAAAGACTAGGTTTAGCACAGTGGTTCTGGTTTAGATTCAGAACTGTGTGTGTGTGTGTGTGTGTGTGTGTGTGTGTGTGTGTGTGTGTGTGTGTGTGTGTGTGTGTGTGTGTGTATATATATATATATATATATATATATATATATATATATATATATATGGACACTCCAGGACACTCTTGTAAAAGAGATTTTTAATCTCAAGGAGTTTTTATCCTGGTTAAATAAAGGTTTGAATGAATATATAAAATATTATGTGTGTGTGTGTGTCCGTGTTATTTTTAGTATTATACTGTTAAAATATTAATATTTTGAATAAGCTACGTTTTTATTTTAAAATTAGTTTAGGTTTTAGTGATTAACTTATTTAATTTCAGCTATTTGCCAACATTTCTAATTTACGTTAAAAAAAAATCAAATCTAATATTTTATTATTTTATTTTATTTCAGCTTTGTCAATTAATAAAAAAAATCAATAGTTTGAATTAACTATAACAATTTAAATATATTAATATTAGCCTGAACTGCATAGCATGGCAATTTTTTTTATTGGACGAATAATTTACTGCATCAGTGTCACCTTTAAGGATTGTATTACTTTTGGCAGTGATGGCCTGTAACAATAGCATGCGTTCATTAACAACGTTTCCCTTTTTCACAGTGTTAAAAACGAAGGAGATAAGAGACAAATAAGAACAAGATCTCCAGAGACATAGAGGATGGCGTGGTGGAATTAAGAGTGCTCTGATGGAGGAGAAGAGAGAAGATGGAGGACAAAGAATATGAATTCATTTTTGCTGTACAGATTTTCTTTTGGTGGGGGTGGGGGGAGGGGAGGGGGGTATGGTTTGTAGGACGGGCTATGATGTTGAACTGAGGGTGGGTTTCAGTTTAGAAGTGGGAGGGGCAATACATGTAAATCTGGCACTACTGTGTCCTGATTGCGCAATCAAGGCAATCTTTGTCCAATTAGAAATTTACTGGGCAATACAACTCTATAGAATAAAGCGTGACTTAATGCAGCTCAGTGTTCATCTACCCAAAACAATTCAGAAAAGTCACTGTGGACACTGGATGTTGCTCTTCATACTGTGCTGCACCCTGGTTATGTTGATTAGTTCATGTTGTTGAATAGTGCAGTACAGCCACTTTTTGCATTACACACTGCACTTACTGTGTACATTTTTGATTGAGAATTGCACACATGCCATTATCCCGAGTCGTAGACCCAGTACAGACCACTATACGTTTTGGTCTTGATCTGCATGGAGCATATGGACGTGCCATTATATACACTGTCCGGCTGTACATTTAACACTGGTGAAATGTTCAAACTCTGTTATTCATATCAGCCTTTGTATAGTCAAACATTTATGTTTTTGCCCATATTTAAGACCATGTCCTAAATTCCACACTGTATTGTCTTACACCTATGTTTTGAGCTGAAACCAAAAGCCAGAGGTGACACAAAGAATGAAAGTGTGTGAGAATCTCTCTCAGAACATATATCTGAATGCACAGACCCCTTTAGCTCAAGTCTGAGAGTTGTGGAAGTGGTTCAGAATTACAGAACTAACTCAATCATCTCATTTCCTCTGTACTGCACTGAATTTAACTCGACAAGCTTGAAAATGTTCAAAGACTTTAACCCAACTCTTTAATTATTAAACATGGGTTAGAAATTGGGACAGGTCAGGCCTATCTTCTGAGTTTTTGTCTTTTAAAATGGCTCCTCGTGGGATTAAGCGTTCATTAGTTTATGTATTCTCACCTGACTTTTCTTTTTGAATTATTAAAGTGCTAAAAAGTGATTGGAAAATATCTACTTAATGAGCACAAATCTAAATGCACATGCTGTCTCAATATACTTTTCTTCAATTTCTTTTACCAACACTATTAATATCACTAGGTTGGCATTATTTATACATTTAGAGAAACATATCAAATTAAACACCTTCAACCATTTTTTTTTTTACTTAAAAGTTATTGCTCTGTGTGTAGTTGTTAAAGGCATAGTTCACCCAAAAACGAATTATTTCATTTACTCATCCTCATGTCATTCCAAATCTCCATGGAACACAAAAGAAGATATATTGAAGAGTTTCAACTCTACATAATTAAAGTTAGTGGAGTCCGAACAACGCTGGATCTCACCAATTTTCATTGTATGAACAGATTTTTTTTTTTTTTTTATATATATCTTCTAATATAGGTTTGCAATGACATGAGGGTGAGTACATGATGACAATTTTCATTTTTGGGTGAACTATACCTTTCAATTCTGAGAGTAAGGAACAGTTGAGGGACAGATCATTTTTCCACTGTTGTTACAGAGTGATAATCTTTTTTTGTTATACATCAATATAGATAATCATTGCAGCTTTCATTTTGTTTTTTAAACCAAAATATGAACATTGAGTGTAAAAGCTATTTCTTTAAGCTTGTATGTGATGTTCCAGGGTTTTGTGTTTTGCATATATGTATTTTGTATCTTTCTCAGTAATAATAGCACACTGTTGTTCAGATGGCACAGCTGGAACATTCTAAAATCACTATGTTGTTGGAACAGCCTGTCATTTTTTTCCCAGGCCCTAATGTTTAACAAAGCCACGAGCGTTGTTATTTGCTTCAAATAACAGGTTCACAATCTGCTGTTCTTTGAGTCGGGTCTTCTGCGTGTCAGAGCAACGCCCAGAGACAGTTTTTCAAACACTTCGCAATTTCTCAATAAGGCCATAGACACATGTGCACATACATGCAGTGCTTTTCTCTACCAACAAAACAGTGATTCTAGATTATCTATGCAGCAGGTTAAGTACAATTGAATGAGGTTAAAGAGGGGACTGAGGAGAAATGAGATTGGTGGAGGGTGGGAAAGGGTTTTGTTTGGATATAACATTTTTCTTGTATGTAGTTGAGTGTTAATGAATTGGTATGCTTCAATTGTCCACTAGACACATGGAACATGAGCTAATACATCTCTGAACATCTCAAACACTGGAAAAAGTATGATGGCCAGTTTGTAAAGGCCTCTGTTTCAGACTCCTCATGGAATTTATTGTACTTTTTATCTCAATGCTATTTTTCACATTTATTGATATAATTTAGCAAATTGTACTCATATGTTCTCTCAGACTCAGTGCGATGTGTGATTTAGAGTTATGGTCAATATTTGCATACCAAGATGTTTGAACACCATTTTTTTAGAATATTGTAAAAGGAAAAATACGTTTTTCTTAAAGAGGATCTAGGCTACACGTCTTAACTACTGAATGTTTTTGCAAATTTAGCTGGTATTGCAAGAAAGAAGAGCGCTGTTTCGAAAAAGGTGTCCTACTTTATGGATGTCTGTATGTATGCTTAATGCCCTCCAGGTCTACTGTATATTTTGTGGTACGCATTTGTGAACTTTGTAGCTTGTCTTCTTCTGATTGGAACTGTGTAGAGTTTATACTGCCAAAAAAACAACAACAAATCCCAAACTGTCTCATGTTTTGTGTCCAAAAAGTTCTAAAATTGCTGTAACCTTGAGGTAACAGTTTAAATGGCTGAATCAATTGAGTATGTTAAACATTGTTTCTCACCTTAACATTCATCTCGAGTTTCCCTTTGGAGTTTCAGTTTTTGTTCTTTACCTGTAATGACAGTTTAGATTTAACAGGCTTTTATCTTTTGTAACAGTCAGGTAAGTATATCATGCATGATCTTGTTAATCATTAAATGAACCCCTTCAAGGGATTTCTACATGTAAAGACACCCAGTTAAAGATACACGCTTCCGTAGTTGAATGACATTTAACTACGATCATTACATTATGTAATCTGATAGGCGTGGGGTTTGGATATTTCATCTTTGTGAGAATAAACTGTCGTATTTATTGATATGCAGCTTTAGGAACCTTGCTGAGGATTGTGCTCACTTGCAATTGATTGTGGAGCGATTTATAGTGCTAAAACAGATTTTATACTGAATTCTCTTTGATTTATGAATATGAAATTCAAGTTGTAGAACAAAACATGTAAGTCTCAAATTGCATCAATGTCAAACACAGAGATTATTGTACATCAAAAACCTAAACTAAACTCCCGAGAGAACACAGAGTTTGGAAAGGCCCAAACATTTTTGTCATGATACGTTTGGACCACACATTTTTTAATTTTTTTATTAGGCTACATCAAATAATTCAAACTCAAAATAATGTTTTATTTAATCATTAATTTTGTAAGCCGCCATGAAATATGTTTGATATTGTACAGTGATTAGCCTATAGAAAAATATTGAGCAGTTATGACTGGCTGACTGTATTATCACTTAAGATATGATCACATTAATAAAATTTTGCAGGCAAAAAAAAGTCAATTGCCTGTTGTTAATAGTGTAGCGATATTAAGTGCTGCTCACAGAATTCGGTGTCAAACTAAGCAGCAAACTGATGGTCAACGCGTGACAGACTTGTTAAACAAATTGTGAAATCTGTGTTGGGAAATATGTTGTACTCATGCAAAATTCACAATAAAGAGGATTCCTTTTGAAATTACTTGATTTCGCCCACGAAAATATACAGAACAATGGTAAATGTGACAGCACCTTTACTTATTGAGCTGTCAGAATGGTGGTGGTCTCATGTCTGTATTTTACAATGTTTGTCCCATTTAGCATATTATGCAATATTCCATTTTGTAGTAGTGCATTCACACTGAAAAAGGCAGGTGTAGTGCACTAAAAGTTCCTTGATGTACTAGATGAATTGTGAATACACATCCTCAAGATAGTTATGTTTTAAAATAGTCAGCTTCCTATACTAGACAGTGTATTTGGACAGCTGACACAGCCAATATGTGTCAAACCTTAACCTACAGCCTTGTTCATCCTTGTCTCGGCATGCTGTCTGTACTGAAATTCCTCCTGTGTTGAAATTTTCATGTGAGGGGATCATTTCTAAATAGTAGTCCTACATACTAGACAGTCAGATACACCCTCAGGTGTGATTAACTTTATTTGCCTGTGCTGTCCACTTGCTGGAATGAGACAGTTATACGAAGCATCTGCAGATCCCTCTTAAATCATTGATTCTGACAGCTCATTCACCCGTCAAACCATCAGCATAGGAACAAATGCATGTTAATGCAGTTTGATATTGAGATGAAAATAAGGACGGAAAATGGAAATTAAATTTATAATTGTCTGCAGATAAGAAAATATGTTTCATAGGAAAGGAAATGACATGTTCCAACAGGCTGCAGTTGAAAAAGCTTCTCCAGTCATTTTAGATCGGTAGATATTCTAATGGATAGAATTAGGAAGGATGCTTGAAGAATTATGTGAATAATAAAGGAGATTGAGGATGTGAGTCAGCTATATCAGATGCTCTCAATCACATTGCTGTGCATTTCATTTAGTGAATGGAGACACTGATGTCTGAATCTATTCCATTGATTTAAGGACGATTCTCCCTCATCAAAGTGCCTCTCCATCTTCTGCCAATACCAATCCACTCTATACTTATTGGTAGTAAGTGAGTGAGTAATTAAAGGTGCATTATGTAACGTTTGGCCCTCTAGCGGTTAAAAAACCCCCGAAATCATGCATTTTGCGGAAGAACATTGTTTTGGTTGTGCTTTGACTGTGTGGAGAGTTATGGTTCTTTCTCATAATTAAAAAAAACCTACTGCTCATAAAAATAAATTCTCTAATAGGCTTAAGAGATATAATCAGTTTAGATTGAAAGGATCTCAAGCTGACTAATTGACTAATTGAAGACGTTACTATGGCTGTACTCATTAATTAGGGGTGTAACGGTACATGTATTCGTATTGAACCGTTT